GGCCAGCCATGACGGGCCTCTCCGTGCCTGACTCTCGGGGAGAGCCGGCAGCCCAGCAGCACAGGGACACCCACCGTGAAATGATGAAGCCCGGCCACTGTCACACACTGCGATGTGCACAGGCTCCTGAGGGAGAGAGGGGCTCCTGGGAGCGCTGGCCCAGGGCCTGCAGGTGAGCAGCGGCTCCTGGGAGCCCAGAACATGTGCGGGTCGGGGGCAGGGAGGTGGCTGAGGGTGAGATGAGGGCTGGGGCTGACGGAGCAGAACTGAGGCCCGACACCCCAATCCCACTACCCACCTGGTCCACGGGCACCTCCACTTGCATACAGGGGTCCTCTTTCACTTCTGGCGCCCCCCGGGCCTCCTTGTTAGGGGTCGGGGCTGTATACACGTCGCCTTCTGAGGGAGAGACAGGGTGAGTGAGCGGGGGCTGCCACGCGTTTCCGACCACCCTGAGATGCGCTCCCTGGAACAGAGGCCAGGGGAGGGAGTGCTAAGGACGTGACTCCCAGCAGCATCCAGCTCAGAGCAGCCCTGAGACCCTCCACCGCCAGCCTGTGCCCACGCCAGCCGCAGCGCCAGTCTGTGAACGGAGCGGGGACGTCTCTCATCTCTCGTCTCACGTCAAGGAGACACACTGGGGGGCAGCGCTCAGAGCTGAGCGCCCCTCATGGCGGGGTAAGACCGTGTGTGCGCGCTTAGGACTGCACTCGAGTGAGTTCCGAGGACCCAGCTTTAAATGCCTCGTGACCAGAAGGGGGCGCGTAATGACTAACAGCATCCGTGACTCTGAGGCTCAGGTTTCCCACAGACCGCCCTGCTGGCCTCTGGGCAGTCAGTCCTTTCGGGGCGGGCACACCCTGCCCGACGGACACGCAGCTGCAGGACCGAGGTGGCTGCCATTTCTATCCTGCAGACTTCCTAGTCAGAGAATCCCACAGCCTTCAACACAAGCTGTTCTGCTCTGCCGACCTCTGACATACAGCAGAACCGGTCATTAATAGGTAGGGCGGTCAAAGCCAAGAACTATCTCCGCAGCATAAAATCTGTCTGGGACCAAACGTGCACGCACCCCATGCTCAGCCTGGCCGCCTCCTGGGCCGCCTTCTGCAAAGGAAGCTTCCCCTTACCTGCCCCGCTGCGGACCACAGGGCCCGCCAGCTCTGGCCTCGCCCCCTCTTTGGCGTAGTACACAGAATCCTGGGTCTTAGGCGGCAGGCCATCCTGTAGATGAGGCTCTTTTGCTTTGGAATCCTCCTAAGGTACAAATTGAGAGTGAGAAGTATATTGGGCGGGCCCAGCTAGGCAGGGCAAGCAGAAGGGCACCACCGTGCAGGGCTGGGGTTGCAGGGACGCCCAGGTTCAATTCCCGGCCCAGCCTACCAGGCCAGGCACAGTGACGTGAGCCTGTGCTGCTGGGTCACCGGGAGACTGGGGCGGCTGGGTCACAAACACCAACGACATCAGAAATAAGACTTTCTTGGGAACCAGCAGTTAGCGTAATGGCTATGTCGCTGGACTCCCACGTAGTCGACCGCGGTTCGCGTCCTGGACCTGGTGGCTTAAAACTCACGCCGGGCGCGTGTGCGTGTGTGCCCAAGATCCCGAGAGGAGAATGGAGGAGAAAAAAAAAGAAAAAGAAAAGTAGAGCCAGCCAGTGGCATGGAGGTGAAGGCACCGGATCCCACATGGCTGACCCCCGCAGCTCAAGTCCCAGACCAGGAGGCTTGAAAAACGCTCCAGGCACCTGTGCATGCATGCCCAAAACCCCAAGAGGGACTGGAGAAGGGACTGTGGCGTCGCCACCACCAGGGGTGATTTCCCACGTCCGCTCTCTGTCTCTCTGGCTCTGTCTCCCCAGCAAGCACACACACCCTGCAGCAAACATGTAAGAGGGAAAGGAGGGCACAGCCGTGAGGGCTGCAAGCCCGCAGCCCCGTCCTCTCGCTGTCCGGGGTCAGGAAGGCGCAGGCCCTTCTGGTAAATGGCAGAGGAGACTCGGCACCTCCAGGAAATCTCGCTTCCAGCTCCGCGTTGTCCACCCTCTTCCGTCCACTCCCCTTCCACAAGGTGACAAAACAGTCCCTCCCAAGGGAGAAGGGCTCACACCACTCTGCAGCACCCTCCTGAAGCTGGTGCACGGGGGACCCCAGCAGGGAGCTGTGTGTTGGGGCTCCTTTCTACCGTCTGAGACACTCTATTTTTTTAATTAATTTATTTATTTACATTCATTCCCTGTATGTCAATACAGTGTACAAAATTAGATTTTCCATCCAGAATACACTATATATTAGCTTAATCAAGGTTATTACCATCCATGTTATCATCAACAAATAATTTTCCATTTCTTATTTCTAATATATTTTCTCCCCCACCTTGATTCCCTACCTCTCCCCCTCTGCCATTTCCCACCCTCCTCCCACACTGTCTCTGATACCTACAAGTTGTTTTCCATATCTTTTTTTTACACATTTTATTGACTCACTAAAGATCTTGATTAATCTGGGACAAGCAGATGACATAATGGTTATGTCACTGGACTCCCATGAAGTCAACCACGGTTCGAAACCCGAACCCTACAGCTTAAACTCACACCGGGTGTGTATGCCCAAGATCCTGAGAGGAGAATGGAGGAGAAGAGACTAGGGCATGGCCATCCCCCCCGGAGGTGATTTCTCACTCTCTCTCTCTCTGTCTTTACGATGCGCTCTATACCAAAAACCTCTCAAAAAATTTTCAAAAAAAGAAAAAAACTTAATTAATCTGAAAACTTTCCATAGCAAACACAGCTGATATATACATATCTATGAACACGTTTAACTTAGGTGTAAACCTCTGAGTAAAGTGAACATACTATAAATGGCACCCAGCTGAGGCTATATAGCTGACTGCAGTCACTAAATAGCTATTTTTACTGCATTTTTTAATTTCAAGAAAAATGGTTTTAGTTTTAATAGATCAAATTCAAAAAATTTTAAGACTTAAATCAGGGAAAAAGTTAGGATTCAGTTCAAATAGTAGGTAAATGAAACTATCAACAGTTCAAGAGAAAAATCCTTAAATACAGAAAACAAAGCATAGAAGAAAATCAGTAATATTTTAGTCAAAAGTCATAAAATTCTATTTCTCCAATTCAGTCTCATATGATTAATTTCTCTTGCATTGAATGTGCAGTGTTACTGTGGTCCGATCTTTCCATTTAACCTCTGGAAGTTAGCATTCAATTCCAGACTTGTCCCTACCATTAGGCTGGCCATTTTCTTGGCTGTTTTTGGTACTCTTATTTCTGTGTGTCCAACTTTAGTTTTTCTGGGCTAGCACTCCCCTCAGCACTTCTTAGAGAGCTGGTCTGGTGTAGGTAAATTCTTTCAGGTTTTGTTTATCTGTGAATGTTCTTGTCTTCTCTTCCCATAAGAAGGATAATCTTGCCAGCTATAGTATACTTGGTTAAAATTGCTTATCACTCAACACTTTATTTTCCCATTCTTTCCTTGTTCACGTTGTTTCCAATAAGAGGTCTGACGTTAGCCTGATGGGCTATCCTTTGAAAGTAACCTGACGTTTCTCTCTCACCAATTTTAATATCCTGTCTCTGTCTGTGGTCTTGATCAATCTGGCTATGATGTGCCTTAGAGAAGATCTTCTTGGGTCGATTCTATGTGGAGTCCTTTGTATTTCTTGGGTCTGAATATCTGATTGCCTAGGTTTAGAAAGTTTTCTTCTAGGACTTCATGGAATAGATTATCAATGCCCTTATTAGTTAGTTTCTTCACCCTCTGAGATAGTGATGGTATTGACATTTGGGCATCTAATGGTATCTAGTATTACTCATATGTTATTCTCATTTGGGGGGGTTCTTTATTTTTGGTGAATTTTTCTAGGTCAGAGATTCTATCTTCTACATCTGAGATTCAATCTTCTGCATGATCTAATCTGCTTTCAATACTGTCAAAGGAGGTTTTGATTTCCTGTATTACAGCCTTCATCTCTGACAATTCCATTTGATTCTTTTTTATGATGTGTATCTCCTCACCTTCTGGAACTTGGTGTCTCTTCTCCTGCATCTTCTGGAGTTCGCTGTCTCTCTTCTCTTGCATCTCTGTTAGCTTTGTCACTATGAGTATTTTAAATTCTTTATCAGATATGTTCACGAGTTCCCTTGCATTGTCTGTGGAGGATGAGGAGTTATTCTTTCTCCCTTAGAGGAGAGATGCTTTCTTGGTTTTTCCTATTTCTTGTGCCTCTGCAGTGGTTTCTGGTCATCTGATGGATTACACATTTTTTCCTAGTTTTTTTAGTTAAATCTGAGTATTCAGAGGCATGCAGGAGGTGACCTGCAATTTCTAAACAGTACCGTTTTCCTCCCTTTGTGCAGCAGATTCAATGGAAATTGAGGATTAATCTTACCCAGAAAGTATTCAGGTATTTGGCTACTGAGCACCTAGACCTGACCAGAAACTCAGTGTGTGGAGGCTGAGCAGAAAAGTGAGAAAGGTAAGAAGAAAAGGAAAAGGAAACAACCAAAAAAGAGAGGGGAAAAAAAAAAAGTTTTAAAAAGAGAAAAAAATTTAAAGCAAAAAATGAAAACTGCGCATTGTGCTAGTGCACTGTGCCACAGGGCCGCTCAGACTCAGACACAGATGGCTGGTGATTGGCTCGTCCTTGGGGGCAGACACAGATGGCTGGTGATTGGCTCATCCTTGGGAGCAGGGGAAAGGCAAGAGTTAGCAAGACAAAAGAGATAGAGCACTATGATTTTTTTTTTAATTTTTAAAAATTAAAAATAAAGAGATGCAGGGAGAATAAACAGGGTCCTCTAACCTGGCTTGATCTGGGGGGACAGGAAGGTAAAGTCTGGGCAGAAGGTCTTCAGCGTCCTAATGGAGACATTCTTTAAAGCCTAACGAAGCTGCTTCTCAACCATCATTCCTGC